TTTCATTTTAGTCATTCTTTTTCTTCAACAGTAACTTCCACTCATGTTTGTTGCGATAGCTATGAGTGTCTGAAGGGACATAGCAAATTTGGTTTACCTCATGAGCTTTGGCGGTTTCCGCCGATTCCGTATAGCGAAAATTCTGAATTTTCCAGCGTAGAGATTAGGTTAGAACTTCTTATACGGCCATTAATAATAGAAGGTCCACCTCAATTTCCGGAAATTTATGCGTGAGCGTGTTTCCATGCAATTTCCTGGCAATCGCTATAACGCATCATATGGATCTAAATATATTTTCAAATGATTTTCTATATATATATTAAGATGAGTACGTATCAATGTAATACGACCCAAATTTATCCAAGAGGAAAAAATCGAAACCATTCAAATTAGTCTGAGAAAATAATTTTTCATTTCGTTTTTTTGTTTCAGTGAATAATAAGATATATAACTACCATATTTGTAATCTGCTATCGCGAGAATCTGGGCGTGGGTAATATCATCTATTCTTTGTCTATATGATAATCTACACCTACAGTTTTAACGGGACCAATTCGGAAGATTTCTTTAAGTTTTTCAAAAAAGTTTAGACATTCTTTTCTCTAGATATTAGTGCACTTGTATAGTAATCAGTTAGGATTTCATCTTAGGAAGAAAATTCGAAAAATCTCTAATATTTTTGGAGATTCTTTTAAAATACTCGGAAAGGCTTCCGATACGTCAAATACATTTTTCATCTCAGTAAATTCTCCTAATAAAGATAAAATGTTTTTTTCTCACTCACACTCTTCCACATTTTAACAAGCTTGAAACGCGTCGTATTCACGGCAATTCTCTCGAACCTTTTGAAGTTATGGGATTTTTTCCTACTTTGACAAACATAATTAATTTTTTTGTCGCCGTATTTATCATACACAACGATTTTTTTTACGCAGAACAAGGGCATCGATGTTTGACAACACTATTGATCTTGGAAAACTTGTTTGTTTGTTTTTCTCTGTCGATGAGCTTTTCTTCCTATATTCATTTTACATAGTTTTCTCATTGAAGTTTACACGCTACAATTGCTCACTGCAACCAGGAAGTACAGTGGAAAGTCGAAGCATAAATAAGTATAGATCTCAATAATAAATGGGATCGCGAGTGAGTCAAGTGCAAGAGAAGATACCTATTAGTTCGTTGAATACATCTTATGCATCGAAAGAAGAATCAGTTCAATCAATATATGCACAAATCAAGCAGGTCAGGATGAATTGGAATGCTCAGCATATTTATTCGTTTATTATATTTTCTCCATAGATTGTATGTGATGAAAAAGAGGATGGACGTAAGGAGTCAGATCAATGGGAAATCATTGCTGCAAAACTCCAGTCTTCTGCATATAAAGGACGCGAAAAGGAAGTATTTGAAAAAATCGATGAGCAAGATAGCTATGCATTACTTCACCACGCTGTTCTTTCAAACAGACTATGGATTTGTCAAAAACTGATTAACAAATATAAATGCGGTGCAGATTGTCTAAAACTCTTTTGATTATATTTCTACTGATCTGTTATCGTCTTTTGCAGATGTCAATTTGATCGGATGTGATGGACAAACACCACTACATCTTTCTGCACGCTCGCCTGAAATTAAATCAAATACGGACGAAACTACCAACACATCGACAACAGTAGATTTCAAGCAGTGAAATGAAACAAACTATTTTTCTTTCGTTTTTTTTCAGTCGGAAGATACAATTTTTCATTATTTGTTAAAACATCCTGATATTGATATTTATATTCAAGATAAGCAAAAACGAACAGCGTTACACTATGCAATCATGCGAGGACGCGTTGGAAATGTCAAAGCATTAATAGAAAAGTATAAATCGAACAAAATACTTGAGGTAAATGGTAGTACTTTATCTCTAAAAAGTTACATCTATTTGTAGTTTTCATTTTTATTCGATGTGTAACTGTGTCACATTGTGTTGTTTTTAAACATTTCCTTTTAAAGTCTAATTTTTATCTCAGACAACGTATTAAACAGCCTTATCACTCAGATTCTCAAAGTGTAAACATTCTGCTAAGAACTCTTTTGAACATTGATCGGCAGCTGAGCTCTCAACACTGAAGCAATAATACTGCAGTGTGTATTAACAGTTAGATGTATTAAAACTTTCCCAGAGAGATCTAGAAAGCACATGAAAGCGTTATATTTTTTGTCTCTTAAATATTTTTCTCTTGAAAATATATCAGAATCAGTAAACAGTCATTCTACGACACAGTTTTGAGCATTTTGAAATCGAATGTAGACGATCAACTTTCTACTTACATCCACGTTTATACATATACATCCACGTCTATATAGCCAAGATGCATATATAGTTCATAATTTATTTCAATCGAAGACTCATATGAAAGGTTCCACTTTTGAGATTTTATCGTCATGAGTTTTCGTGTCATAACTCCTAATCATAAGTGCATTATTAACTTTAGTTTTCATGATACATAGACAGATAAAAATATTCACGGAAAAATCAGTTACACAACTTTTAAATATCGTATTCTTTTTTAGATATGCGATATTCAAGGTGCTTTACCAATTCATTATGCGTTTCGTTTTTTAAGCGAGACAACGGATCTTTCACAATTTAATGAGCCTAAATCCTGGTTTGATAAAAAGACCGATGGTGGAAAACGGCCAATAGATCTTGCTGCTGAATACGGTAATCTCGGTATCGTTCAAAAATATTTGTGTAAAGATGGTCAAAGAGATTCAGATTTAATGCAAGCAGCTCTTCGTCATTCAGACAAGACTGTCTTTGATTTTCTTCTTAGAAAAGAAACAATAAACGCTCAAACTCCTGAGAGATTACTTCACTCTGCTTGTCGAGAACGACATGGACACAAATCGATATCTTGTTTCTCAATTACGAACGCTCAATTGCAAGAACAAGATGGAGCGGGATTCACTCCATTGATGGTGGCCGTAAAAAATCGTCGTTTAGAATGTGTTATAGCACTACTGGAAACAGGACAATGTGATGAGAAGGTTCTCAATGCATGTAGTTCCAATAACAGGTGTACAGTACTTCATATTTGTGCAGAAATACTACACAAAGAGATCACCGATAATCTGTTTCAAACACTTGTAAAGTTAAAGAATTATAGAGATATATTAGTCTCACAAGACATTAGTGGTGATACACCTTTACATATTTGCGCGAAAACAGGCAACGATCATATGTGTGAAAAGTTGTTAGATCTCTATAGTACGTTACGTAGAAGTAATCCGGGAAAGATACCAATGTGGTGCTTGGCAAATTACAATAAACTTACAGCTTTTCAAGAAGCAATTAATAACGACCAATCACGTGTGGTGAAAAAAATGTTGAAATTCAAATGTATACCTAGATCGGAGAAATGGACATCAATGTTATGCGCTACAGACGCACAATTGAGTACAAACTTACATATAGCAGCATTGCACGGTAAGTCTATAGCATATGATCATAAATTCGAAGAATACATAATCATGAAAAATAAATAGTTCACTAAAATATTATGGTTTTTGAAAATTCAACTATGATCCCATGAGTATAGTTTCACATATCTTTCACTCAAAATATGACATTTTTCGATATCTATACATCTCATACTCTCAGATGAATGATTTTGTATTATGCATTTATATGTAGTCTATTTATACTACTTAAGTATAATTTCAACTAATGTCTAAAATTTATAGGCAATGCTAAAATGGTAAAGGAACTTATTCGAAAAAATCTGGACGTAAATGCATTTGATATGAATGATAATACACCATTACATAACGTAGTTTCTTCTTATAATGACGATGACAAGGATATTGAATGTAGAATTAAATGTGTCAAGTATTTAATCAAAAACAATGCGGATGTTAATTCGTATAATATTCGGCGAGAGACACCATTACATATTGCATCAAAATATGGATCATATAGATTTGTTCAAGTCTTACTTAAGTATCACGCGGATTTGTTGGTGACAGATATAGATGGTTTGAATTGTCTGGAAGTCGCAATAGAAGAAAAGAATAAAGAAGTTGTCAAATATTTTATTGAACACAAGCGAATATTTGAAATGATGCGTAATGCACAAATAAAATCGTATGGAACTGAGGAGACCATAAGTAATAGTTTTATTGGCCAGTTTATACAGAAGATTGGGACATGTATGATCTCCACTTTTGTACCAAAGACTATGACAAGGAAGGTTAATACACCTATGCGAAGGCTTATTGTAAACATGCCTGATATGGCTTCTCTTTTCCTTAAAAAGTGTACTATTGATATGGGTGACAAAAGAACACATATACATAGAAATATTTACAATTATGAATTCTTAGACGATGAATATTCCATTAACAAATGGAGAAAAGGTGAGAAAAAAAATTATATATATATTATTCCAGAATCTAAAGAATTCATTTTACATCCTTACAACTTATTGTTCGAATTTAATCTCATTTTAGTTTTTCTTCGCTTGATATAGCTGTAAAGTAATCGTGCGGTATAAAGTTAGATCAGCTCCATCATACCTTATGATTTAATTATATAAATGAATAGTTGAATCGTTGTCAATGGCAAAAATATTATTGACAAAATCTCATAATTAACATAAAATCTTTCCGTTTGTCTTCTGTTAAGGAAATGCTATCGAAGAAAACAAAGACAAAGCTAAAGAGGCTGATGCATACACATCGAATTATAAGACGATTGTCGAAAATCATCCGTTATTTTTAATGGCTCTACACAATAAAATGAAGTTAATGGCAGATCCATTGAGTCGAAGTTTGGCAGATATTAAATATAAAAAGTTTGGACGGTGGATTTTTTGGGCCAGTTTCATACTTTACATTGCTTTTATTTCTCTGTTTACAATCCTTGCCGAACGAATTGATCATCCACAGCAGTATTACGCCGAAACAAACACTACTTTCGATACTAAATCATGTAAGGAAGTACTGATAAACATTAAAAATAAATCAATAAATGGTTCTTATATGCAAACTTCGGTAGATCGTCTTTATAAAATTAATTTATATTGGATCATCGCTATTCTTCTCGTAAAAAATTTATGGATAATTGCAGGTTTCTTATGGATTTATCCAAAAAAGATATTAATATTTACATTCGAAATTGGAGCACTCGTGTTAAGTATTATATTCATTTTTGATGCTCATTATCAAGAAGGAGTTCTCATGAGATGTCCCACACAATGGCAATATGGTGTATTTGGATTGTTTATCGGTTATTTAGGCTTATTATATTATATTCAGTATATTCATCTTATTGGTATCTATGCGATTATGGTTAAGATTATTATTGTTCAATTTACTTTTTTTCTGCCTGTTTTATCGTGTTTTATTGTTGGTTTTGGAATAGCTTTCCATATGCTTTTTAAATATAAAGAAGCATTTAATAACTTTTCGATTCGTACATTAACTGAAATGGGTAATACTTAGATAAAGTTCAGATTTTTATTTTCAATTTATTTTAATTTAGTAATAATGATCACTGGCGAGTTAAATTTCTCTGAAGTCATGTTTGACGAAAACGATTCAACCAAACCGTATTACAAAATAAGTTTTCTCATGTTTCTTTTATTTACTATTGGTATGGTAATTCTAATCTCAAATCTTCTAATAAGTAGGAAAGATTCATTGCATTTGAACACACACATCATTATTTATTCATCCCATTATAAATAATAGGTTTGGCTGTTGGAGAAATTGTACCATTGATGAATCAAGCCAAAGGAGCCCAAATTGATATGTACTTTGAACTTATAGCTGATTATGAAATTCTTCGACTACAGTTGTACGCATTGTTTTGTAAAACTTTACGTACTATCATCTTACCAGATCCATACAAATTGTATCAATCTTGTGATATGAAAAAACCTCCATGCAGGGAGACAATTACTAAGAAGATAATAGATTTTTTTACACAGACAACTTATATTGAAGAAAAGATCTTTGAAGCTTATGAGGATGAAGATAAAACTGACAAACAAACAAAAATTCTATTTGAAATTCGAAATGAATTGAAACATCCTCAACAAGTCAACAAAACAAAGACTTCAACATTCAATAAAAAAACTGTCAGTCCGAATTCTAAGAAGAATTGACCATGAAATATAATTTTTAAGAAATCATACTTTTCATTTAATCAACCTTTTATTAATCCTGATTTTATTATAATAAACATGAATATTTTCTCGAGATAATCTTTCTCTATTTAATATTTTACACGAATGTACGACAGAAGTATGTTTCACAGAAATCGAAATTATCAGCACTCAGATATTCACACAAAAGAAACCTATTATGTTGCTGAACTTTCGAATTATAACCGCAAGTTAATTCTGAATATAAACCCAAGAAAACTAATTTGACTTGTATACCTCAAATAGAAAACAATTTTCTAATTTCGCCTTTTATTTTTCGAAAATCAATGCATGAGTATCTACAGCAAGATATGTCCATTCTTGCACAAGAAAAGCTTGAGAGTATAGATATAAGTAACAGGAAGATCAACGTTTTCTAATATGTTAGCAGGACATTATAAAATGTCAGTGATTCACATCTCTTTTTAAAGATCTTTGATTATAATATTTGAATTTATTATATGAAAATTCTTTAGCTTTAACACTAAAACAAGAACATCCGATCACCGAGCAAGTGTGGGCGAGAGATAGGCGTAAAAAGAGCCACACCCTCACCCTCAACGATGATGCTTGTCAAAAGTTTAAACCGATACGGAGCACTCCATAAAACCTGGATTAAACGATTCAAACGGAAATACGCCTGGTTCATGATGACGTGCATCGATCTGCTCCATCAGTTCAGTAAGCTGGTGCTTGAACAAGTGATAGTTGTCAAGATGGGACTGAACCTGATCTTCTGTGGTAATTGGCTGCAATGCGCCGTCTTGATTATCCGTAGCCATGGGTGGAATCAGATGGCTCCAGTCTTCCATGAGGCCAGGCATTCTTAATGCAGTCAAGACCGTCAAAACAAGCATGAGGGAAAAGTTTTGTACGGATGGTAGCATCGATGGAAGATCTCGTCTCAATTTCGTTCCGATGAAAGAAGGATCATAGAGATAATCACCAACGTGTCCAACATGTTCGTGAATGCCAGTACATGCACAAATGAGTTGGGTGATGACATCAATTAGGAATGCACGACTCGGAATGCCATTGAGTCCCAGCGGTTTACAGAGCTCAGAGATAAATCGTTGCTCGCAAGGTTCATTCATGAACGGACGCTGAGAAGTGACATCGTCACCTTGATCATCGTGATGCGGTGCCTCTTTGCCATATTCAATCTCGAAGAATCGTTTGACGTAGTCGCGAACAACTTTCCAGAAGGCGGGCAAATCTTTTGCAATCGGATAGTTTTGAATCCATTCAGACTCTTCTTCATCTACATCAGATAGGACGCTCGTTTCACTATCTTCGTGAAAGCCATTCTGGAGTTCAGTCGCTTTCGTCAAATCATAACCACAGCCTGGACATTTTGGTATTCCGGCATACTCTTGGGCACTTTTATCTGCGCACTTGTGATTGTCGAAGACAGTTTTTGATCGACGATTGTTCTCCAGTTTCATGCTGTCAGGAATCCAGTCGGGCATCGTACGAAATCGATAGTGAGCAATGACATAATCGCACACTTTCAGAAACTCATCATATTCGAATCCCCAAATTCTGTGACACAGGCCACCTGGACTGACAAGCGAGGTGGCTGCCGAATAGTTGATTGTTACCGTGCGGTACGTGAATGGCTTTAGAAAAACACGCAGAGGATGAGCGGCAGGAAGACACTGTCGTGATACAGTGGCAAGAGTGTTGGCTTCAATAAAGTGCGTTGTAAGCAAATGGTCGCTTATAGTGACCATGGCTAAAGCCGATGATCGCCACATGTATTTTGCATAGGTCCAGTCATTATCGAAGCCTCGCGAACGTCTCAACGGCATGATGAGTTCATTACGTTCCGATAGATAAATACCAATCAAGCGGCGCTGACCATCGAAATAGGCAGCGGCACCGTATCGTTCGAATGGAGCTCGAACAGCAAACAACGACAGACCGGTCATGTCATTGACGTAGCGAGCTGATTTGAGTATTGGATGTCGAAGAGTTGCAGTGTACAGTTCCATACTATCGATATTCGGTTGGAGTTTCCGCGTATGATGACATGCGAGACCAAAGAAGGCGAAGCGACTCATTAGCTCGTCGCTATCGCCGTACCACTGGGGATTGTTAGGTGGAGGCATGCTAGGGAAATGCGTACACCGCCAAGAGATCATATCTTCAACAGAGTTGAATTGTAAGTCGTGATCTTCAAGAGGCCAAAATGAAGCATTCAGAATCTTGTTGATAAGCTTAGTGTGACAGTGCCACGTAGACTTATCATCTTCGTCCCATGTGGCTACGTATCTACCGCCATTGATTCGTTGTATATGAAGTTCCTGTGCTGGTAAGTTCGCTGGTTCGGGGATATCGATGGCTCGGGGTGGCTTCGCGTTCCAGCCACTTAATGCTAACTTGGATAATCTCATAATGAGCCTGGTGTATCCGTCCAGACTATCGAAGTAGTACTTGTTTCTTTTGAAATCCAGATGCTTTCGACAGAAGAGCTCACGCATAATAATGACCACTTCGGATTCGTCGTCATCTGGATGATGAATCTCATCATCAACATTTGGTGGTATCTTTGTTTTAACCTTCGCATCCCGCATAGTCTTGGATACGGGTAATTCGCTGCTCTCAGATGAAATGAGATCTTGCGATCCTGCGCTGCGTGTCGTAACCACGGGTGCAAATCTAGATGCGACGAATTCCATAGCACTTAGAGATAGATTGTGTCCAGGACAGTAACGAGGAGGTCGCATTTCTTCCTTGTCTGCTTCGATATCACCTTCTGCTCCGTTCCACGACATGATTTTTCCTAATTCCGCACTCGATCGTCGTGGGTTAAACTCGTTGGGTGACGTGAACTCGTTCGGGTCTGTATTAGCATCGAAGAGTGAACAGTGCACGCGTGTGTTCGGTGGTATATCGGCACCAGTGTGTGTTTTAACGTCGCGCGCAATTTTTTCATTGGAAAGCACACTGACCATTGGTAAGACAGGATAAAGTCGGGCAGTTTCCTTGATGAAATTGCGTGGATTTTCGTAGAAGACGTCCACCATTTTCTCTTTCCGAGCTGTTCCTTTTCCAGCAGTTGTACTATACGTTTGGTCTGACCACAATCGATGGACAATGTCAGCAGTGATCTTGGCTGGTGCCGGTGCTGCACCTAAACAAAAGGCGCTTGTAACCAGTTGGATGACTTCGGTCCTGGTCATTTGATCACCGGCCGCTTCGAAAGCTGCTTGTAGAGCTGAACCATGCACGTGACGAGCGAAGGCGGCTTGTATCTTTCCATAACTGGCGTAGCCGATATTCTCCATGTAGTTACCAGCAACCAAGAAATTGAACCAGTCTGGTAGAAATGTAAATGGATTTTTCACACAATCCAAGTAAGCAATGCGTTCGTCAGATGTCAGTGAACCGCCAGTGGCCAAAAAGAAGAGAGTTTCACCAACAGCGAGAAAGACCATGTCCTTGTTGGGTTCACTATTTGGTTGTCGTGGAACAATACGAAACAGATATCGATACGTAGCCGTGTTCTTGTGAGCCCACGAATCCTTCAAACTCGTCAAAGTATGTGGAAACGCGGCCAGCCACTGATGAATAACCTTGCGACTAAGTAGGTAACGATCGTGTGTAGGTTCGCTCGGATTGGGAAAGAAGATGTGAGTAAAACTACAGTATTTAATGAGTGAACTCGAGACAGACCAGCCAAGCGACTGATAATCTTTCATCACGAGCGGATCACGGCTCTGTAGATAAGCTTTGACATACTTGTGACTGCCGACTCCAATTCCATCGCCGAATGGAAAGAAGCCGGCCGAGCTTGATCCACCTAAACTTGCTGAAAATTCGGCTTGCAAAGCACGAAATAGAGCCAAAGGATTGATACCACACGGAACGAAAATAATGAAAGTGCATATTTGTAACCAGTAAGATTCAAGTTTCCATTTCCAATCGCGCTGTTCGATAGGTGTAATAGTAGATTTCCAGCAAGCTAGCATCGTACGGACTCGAACGGACTGCGGAGGTCCTCGAGGTTTTACCGGCGTGGTGGTTAATTTTGTGCGATGAAAAATTGAGCAATAGACGACATATATGGCAAAAAAGCTCAAGACGGTCAGTCCCATAACTGCGCCAACGAGCCCTCTAATGGTTCGATAGAGCTTTCGTAAGTTTTCTGGGAGAGAATCGCCAAAGCGAACGTTATTCATTGATAACAAACCGTAGTCAACAGCCGAAACGATCTTCTTCATCTTCAAGTTTTGAGGATTTCTCCAGTCAATTCGCTCTGTGGAAGCAAATCGTTCGAAGTACGTGTGGACTGCAAGAAAATAAAGAAGCAAACCGATGGGCGAGAAGAGATAAGTACTGATAAGGATCGCAGTGAACACAACACGTTCTTCAGTCCAAGCGTGATGACGTGGAAGACCGTCTGCAGCCAACATCACATGAGAAGCACAAGTGAATTTTTCGTGAAAATCTTTTACCATCCAACGGCCCACCCACAACTCAGCTATATGAAAATGGGTTCTCGTAGCTGAAGCGTCGAAGACATTCTGATAGAGATTCAGCATTTTGGAGAAGATAGACGAGTTCGAATGTGCGGCATTTGCCGTTGGTAGGACGAGCCATTGACTTAATGCGAACAAAGATCGAACTGTGAATATAACCGAGCAAACAACAGTCAGGTAGTAAGTGAAACGACTTCGTGGCCTAATAATCAGTGCCAACCAGCCCAAAAGGACGAAATTGTCGAAACAAGCTATTTGGTTCACTTCAAATAGAGACCACATTATTTTGTATTATCTAAAAATGAAGTAGAAAAACAAGCTAGAGGCTTCGTTCGCTCAAAAGTGAGCAAATGTATTGATATTTACCTTGTTTTCATACGAGTGTATTAACTTGCTTTTATATTAAGCTATTATGTCAGATATGAGTGTAGGTGATTTGATAAAGTGATGAATATAATACAGTGGATTATTTATATGAAGAAGTTCGTTTAGAACGATATTCGATATAGGTGCAGTCAGTGAAGCGTATACTAAGAATCAGTAAAAAAGTATTCTCCTTTACGTAGTTTCGCATCACCTAATTAAATTGACAGTGTGCATCCTTTTTTCTTTTTCATTTTGACAATGTTTAACAGATAAACGCTCGATGTATTTCATCCATGCGCACAACAAAAGAAACTTTTGAGCATTAAACAAAATAAATATCTATCCTCGAAACGATGTCTTATGTCACTCATGCATTATTGTCAGTATTAGACAGATGAAAGTATTCAAAAAGGAAAGAAAAGAACGCATATACATGTCTTTATTACAATTGGGACAGTTATATCATTCATCGTCACAGTTATGCAGTGCAAACGTTGCGTGCATGTGCTATAAAATCTTTGCTGACTAATGAATTAAACTCAAACATTACTATCAATAGTAATTGAAAGAGTATTCACAACTGTACAGAATCACACGACAAACGTTATCGGATCTATTATTCATTTAAATGTCTAATTTACTCGACATATTTGACTGTTTTCATATGCTTTTTAAGTTTCAATAACAGAAATATGTTCAACATTTTTACTATATAGCTATACACGTGTTCGAACTAGAAGTGCTCATATTGTCAACGCACCTTCACTCATTGAATACAAGAATTTTATATTGATAATCGATAAAAAATATCGAATAAATAGGTGAGAAAAATATTTCTGCTTTCGAAGTTATTAACAAAACAGTTAGACTATGGCTGTGTTATTTTTTGTGAAGCATTTCAATACATTTGGAGTCGATCCGTAGAACTCCTATATCGATGAATATATTGTAAAATTAGAAACGATTATTGCTGTTACGTAGTAAAAATATCTATGACAAGCAGTTTGTTGCTGATCGTGTCAACGTGGATTAACACATACGGATATATGAAGCTCCTGTTCGTCTTTGTGGAGCTTCTACCGCGTTCTTTGTAATAGATGTGAAGGTTGTCGGAGAAATTGCATAGGCGCAGACGACCGTTGTGTTAGGGATTGCCGTGGCATAGATTGCATGAAATACAGAGATGAATATTGTAAAAACAAAAATAAAGAGTATGTACGAAATAGGTATATCAACTTACTACAACGCTTAAACGATTATATTTTTCTGTATAGGCGATAACAAATGATCAAAGATCATTACCTATAAACTTTTTCTTTTGTATTAATCAACACTACAGTTATAATAAATTTAGCAGCAGAAAATATTTTGTTTATTCTTATGTGCCCCATTAACAACTGAATATTTTTCCTTTTTATTGGTTACCAAATACCTAGTCTGTCAAAATCAAACAATTTCCTGTTTCCAAGGATTAGCCAGAGGTTCACCGACAAATATACCTTGGAATGTTTGAAGAATGCTTTTCCAATATGCTTCAATAAGAGTTTCACCTTTGGTATAATATTGAATCATAATGGTTGGATCGGGAAACTTTTCAGCATAAGCACATGGTTCAGTCACAGTACCAAACGTTCCTGTTGTACCACCAGCAATAAATTTAAGTGCAGACATTTGATAGGAATCGGTAAGCATGCCTCCGAATGACGTCAAATGATCTCCTATAGCACCTGGTGGAAATTCATTCCGATCGATATTTATGACTGATGCTAATCCTTGAAAATAAAACAATGCATCTGTTGTATTGGAAATCCAATCTGCATTTCTAATTTGAACATTCACGGAAGAGCTCAATGCAGTTCCTAGATTAGCAACTGGAAAGATTCTTGCGCGAAGACTTCTTAATGAATCAGTTGTATTCATGATATAAGCAGAACCACGTGGGTGTGTTCCGTCGGAAGCGATACCTCTATTAATCATCGACTTGGTTTCATCAGCAGTGAGTGCTGCGAGCATCATGGCAGGACGCATCTTGAAATCGGTAAATGGCTTCGTCGAATTCGTTTTATAGTAAGGTGATGACGCAGCCCAGTTACATGTTGAAGCTTTGCAAGGGCCATCCATGTAATTTAGTGCAAATGCTGAAGTGATCGAATTGCATTCAACGCGATATGGTATTGTCCATGCAATTGCTAGTGCCTGAACCGTTGTTGGCAAGGTACGGTCTACTTGATCTTTCAACGCTAGAAATTCAGCACTGCTTAATTGTACTTTGATAGAAACATTGAGATGAACTATATTTTGTGAAGGAATATGACGACGCGTTCGATAGTATTCACCAATCATGACACTCTCGGGATCGTTGTCATTGATCAACAGACCAAGTTCACGTGGACGAAGGCCACTCAATCGAGGAAGTCTAACAGAGACTTCGGAAGTTGTGTTAGTTGCACCTGTTATTAAACGTGCAGTCACTCGAAAATAGTAAGTAAATCCATTATCAAGTCCAGTGATTGTCAACGAAGATGAGAGGGAGATCAGCGTTTTGGTATACGTTTGGGAACTTGTACCATATTCAATAACGTATTCTAACACTGCTGGCACTGCATTCCAAGTTAACACCACCTGTTCATCGCCGCGCACAGCTTGTAAAATGGCAAATTTAGTAAATTGCTGAGACAGGACGTCTAGATTAATAGTAGAAGTGTTAATAGGACAAGTTCTCATCACTTTTTGAAGAAATAATCTCTTAGGATCATCGTACCTCCTGCAGAACTACCATTTATTACAACAACGTTATTTAACCAGCAGTAAAATATATAGATCACAACGAGAATATGTTTCATTTTTCACACGTTAGAAATAGAGAAACGAAATTTGTTTTCACCATGCAAAGTACCAAGTATTTATAGTCTAAGTTAACATTACGAATCAATTTAAAATCGTAAAGCCCTCCAAATTACAATAAAGTGAAGCTTAAGAAAAGAAACCGAACGGACTAAAAAGTATCCGTTATCTCAAGGATTGTCATTTTCAAGAGTAACGTGAAGTCTTTATTTACTAATTTTTGTAGCCCTTGCTAAAACTATTTCGCTAGCAGCTATTGATCAGCTGTCGAACATTGATTTGGTAAAACAGCAATATCATTTGATAATTCATTGGTGGCAATCAAATCAGGTAAATTATCACCGTCCAAATCCCTCGATACTAAAGCGACAGGATTGACACCAACTGGAATTGACTTTTCAATAGGAAAATTGCCAAATCCATCACCAAGTAGAACTGTAAGAGTATTATCACCGTAATTAGTCACTGCTAAATCGAATTTCGTGTCATTATTGAAATCATTGGAAATGATAAATGACGGACTTCGACCTATCGAAGATATGTTGCGAATAGAGAAACTACCGTTACCATATCCGAAAAGTAAACTGATGGTGTTGTTTAATTTATTAGTCACTGCTAAATCAAGAATTGTATCATTATTGAAATCATTCGATGTTACCGACGATGGAGAAGTTCCAACTGGAAAACTTCTTTGTGTACGAAACGATCCATCGCCATTGCTGAGTAGAATGCTAATTGTATTGTTGCCCCTATTGACTATGATTAAATCTAATTTTCCATCTTTATCTAAATCTCGTGATATTATGGCTGATGGTTTACTTTGAACTGTGTATGTATTATAAGTTAAGAAGCTTCCGTCTTGTAAACCAAGTAAAATAGTAACTGAATTATTTCCTTCATTTACTACTGCCAAATCCAAATAAATATCGTCGTTGAAATAGGCAGGTGGTAAAGAAATAGGTTGTAGACCTGTGAAATAATTTCTTTCGTCGACAAATGTTCCATCACCAACGCCGAGCCAGACACTGATACATCGACAATCAGGATTATTTATTACTAAATCGAGCTTGGCATCGTTATTCATGTCTCTTAATACTGCTACAGATGAATATCTATCGATTTTGTACGGAACGGGTAAAGTGAAACTTCCATTGCCATAGCCTAACATTATAGTAATAGTACTGGCATCATAGTAAGACACAATGAAGTCTAATTTCATGTCGTTGTTCAAATCACCTGATAACACAAAATACGGTGATCCGTTAACTGTCAAAGTGCTTTCGGATAGAAAACTTCCATTGCCATTATTCAACATGACGGAAATGCCATTATCTCGTTGATTTGCTACAATAACATCCAGATGTGTATCCCTATTGAAATCGCCGACTGTTAACGAAGTCGGCATATTCCCAGTCGTTATACGATTTGCAAATTTGTAAGGCGTATTACACGTTTGTTCTAAAATGAAATAATACTGTCGCTAGGTATGCCATCTAAAAGATCATACTTGTAGACTGTGTTTGTGGTCTAGTTGCTAATACTGCAGCGAGAATAACCGCTGCAATTATCAAAGTGAACAGAAAACACATCGGAATGGCAAATCTCTTCTTGAGATACCATTGTCGTCTTACGAAAAAATTCGATGATCAATTCAATGGCGGCAAGATACTATAGGTGAACTTACTCGATTTTAGGGTAGAGAATTGCATCTAAATACATTCGATAGTATATTTATTTAAATTCGTCAGGTAATTGTTGGCATACCTTTGAATGGAGGTTCTAGTAGTTGAGTTTCTGGTCTCAACTGTTTTAAATGGATAATATGAAGGTCCGGTGCTGGAATAAATTGAGATTGAACTATCATAAACGTACCTGGAAGAAGTAAAATTTCGTCTTCTGTAACAAAATGTGAATAGGCGCTTATTATTCGACCATTGATAGCTTCAACTGAAAATAACGTCCGATTACCAGTCGTACCCAAATAGACGTTANCACCAACGTGTCCGACATGTTCGTGAATGCCGGTGCATGCGCAGATGAGTTGGGTGATGACATCAATTAGGAATGCACGACTCGGAATGCCGTTGAGTCCCAGCGGTTTACACAGCTCAGAGATGAATCGTTGTTCGCAAGGTTCCTTCATGAACGGACGCTGAGAAGTGACATGATCATCTTGATCATCGTGATGCGGCGCCTCTTTGCCATATTCAATCTCGAAGAATCGTTTGACATAGTCGCGAACAACTTTCCAGAAGGCGGGCAAATCTTTTGCAATCGGATAGTTTTGAACCCATTCAGACTCTTCTTCATCTACAGCAGATAGGACGCTCGTTTCACTATCTTCGTGAAATCCATTCTGGAGTTCAGTCGCTTTCGCCAAATCGTAACCACAGCCTGGACATTTTGGTATTCCGGCATACTCTTGGGCGCTCTTATCTTCACACTTGTGATTGTCGAAGCCAGGTTTTGATCGACGATTGTTCTCCAATTTCATGCTCTCAGGAATCCAGTCGGGCATCGTACGAAATCGATAGTGAGCAATGACATAATCGCACACTTTGAGAAATTCATCATATTCGAATCCCCAAATTCTGTGACAGAGACCACCTGGACTGACAAGCGAGGTGGCTGCCGAATAGTTGATTGTTACCGTGCGATACGTGAATGGCTTCAGAAAGACACGCAGAGGATGAGCGGCAGGAAGACACTGTCGTGATACAGTGGCAAGAGTGTTGGCTTCAATAAAGTGTGTTGTAAGCAAATGGTCGCTTATGGTGACCATGGCTAAAGCCGATGATCGCCACATGTATTTAGCATAGGTCCAATCATTGTCGAAGCCTCGCGAACGTCTCAACGGCATGATGAGTTCATTACGTTCCGATAGATAGATACCAATCAAACGGCGCTGACCATTGAAATAGGCGGCGGCACCGTATCGTTCGAATGGAGCTCGAACAGCAAACAATGAGAGACCGGTCATGTCATTGACGTAGCGAGCTGATTGGAGTATTGGATGTCGAAGAGTTGCAGTATACAGTTCCATACTATCGATATTCGGTTGGAGCGTTCGCGTAGGATGAC